ACAGGGAACGAAGTATGGTCGATTTACAACGATACACATTTCGAAATATGAACATTTTTCTCGTAAAATCAATAAAACTTACTCATACCCTGTGTATCCGTTGTATTTTCTGGCGATTTCTGCCGTTTTAAGTTTGCTTTACCATCACTGTTATTTACGTCATTTACTTTTAATAAGTTGGTAACGTCTGTACAGACATCACACCAACCAACTCGCGCGCAAAGTAAGAAGACTATATTGAAGGCTTGAAATAATATTGCGATCGATTTTCATCAAGAAATGGGCCTGGAATATTCCACAATAGTGCAAATAGTCGTGAAGGCGGATCGCAGAAAAGCGATTGCGTGACGCGCGGTAAGCTGTAAGATGACATGTTATTATATACCAGACGTAAAAAACTCTCCAGATTCTTAGTCTGCATTTTGTACCCAGTCTGCAGTCTATATTTTGTATCCGGTCTGCAGTCTGCTGTCTGCATTTTTTACTAACAGGTATCCATGGCACCAATACAGTTTATTTTTGGTTACACTTATTCGCAAAACACACATAATTTACCACAAAATACCTGTGTGTGAGGTTATTCGATATTTTCGTTCTTTCCCACATTAATATTCTTCTCTCCTTTTGTAAGAATGTAGACATCACTTACAATGTTTCAAGTAATCCACCCACCCTACAAAAAAGTAACTCTTGCATGCATAGCATGCCTATGTTTTGAAATAGGTGTATGCCCTTGGCCAGACTTGAGCGAACTATTTCAGTATACTAGTCCGACACCCGTAGTATCACTACACTTAATTCCAAGGATCCAGTACCATCCAGGTATCCCAGTTACCCTGCTCACAGGGTCTAGTTCTTTATCAGATACCACAGGTAGCCCAAGCTCACGTCTCGAGAAAAAGCCAACGATTAATTCATGAACGCGTCACGCGTTGTGTGACTCGGTGTTAAGTTACGAGAGGAACTGTTGAAAATTTGAACACGATGTAAGGAATAGTATGGGGAACGAAATATGGTCGATTTACAACGATAAATATTTTGAAATATGAATATTTTACACGAAAAGTCAATAACACTTACTCACATCCTGTGTGTCCGTTGTAGTTTCTGGCGATTTTTGCCGATTTAAGCTTGCTTTGCCATCACTGTTATACCTGTCAAAAGACGAATCAAGGCTGCACACTCCGATTTCGACCGTTGTCCATGTGGAGGTGGTTTGCGCGCCGAAAATCCTCCTGATCGGCATTTTTCTCAGCCATATTTTACGATCTAAGATCATTGCACTCTGGGAAATGTCTCAATACCAAAACTCCCAGCGCATTTCGTTGGAAACGAGCGTTTAGTACCTGAATTTCCAAGTTCGCTTCTTTCTGGCTATGCTTTGAACAAGCAAACTGGACACGGCCGCGGGAGAAACTTGGGTACGAGGTTAATATTCTCTCTTCCACGAGTGGTACGATCGATCATTGTACAATACTTACCCTATCCCCACAGAGACACCTCGCCTTAATCTATTGTCCTGATCAACCAAGCAACGGACAAAATTTGAATATTCTGAGGGGTTTGCTGTGAGCACTTAAGCTTGGATTATTTTCGCTAGATTGCTATCGAAGGGAAAGAGATACAGTGAAATTGACGGCGAAGCGCATCATAAATGAGTTAGGAGTGGCAAAGTTTCAAGGTGAATGTCTTAATATTTCATTTTGGGAACTTTGAGGAGGGATTATTCCTTTTAAAATCACGGGCGAAAAGCTTATATTAAAAGAGAACAAATTTCCAAGTGCGAACCCAAGATAAATATTTAGGTATCATAGCTTTTCGCAAGTTTGACATTGAAATATGGCCAAAAATTAATGGGATAAGGGATATCAGACAAACCCCCCCCCCCCCCCCCCCCAATAAGGCCTCCTTTCTAGAGAAACTGGCGCTGTCACGCAACGTATCAACAAATCTTGGTTAAAAGAGGGAACCTCAAATTGCTAATCGTAAACCCACAGGAAAACCAATTGGGTAATATCATATTTCATAACAACTGCAGAACCTTTTACATCAGGTATAACAAAACAATTACGTGTATGTGAATCAAAGACATTAAAACAATTATCTTAAGACTTAAAAAGCTATAACATTGCCATTTAAAATAATAAATGCATTATTATTGTTATTAAAAGTACTCATTCAGGCTGAATGAGCTCCCCACGAGCGATTCTTCCCTCTTAAAAGTCTTTGTAATTTATAGCAAAAACTAGGCTATTTTTATTTGTTTGTGCTTCAGTAGGCTTTACGTCATAGGTAGTTGATTATTAGTCACCTTCATAAGCGACTGATAATTTGTTTGTGCTTCAAAAAGTACTGCGTTTGATTGGATTGCCTCAATGACGACATTGTCTTCCCCTAAACACATCGCTGAGGCGATTGTCACCTTGATGAATACTTGCTCTGCTGGTCACATGAAATTCACCATTTTGACGCTGCTTACAATAGGTATTTCCGCTGATTTCAAAGTATTTCGTGTTCAGAGGATCATCATTGCCCATTCATAAGATCGAGGTATGGCTCGGAAAAAAAAGTGACCGGAAGTCCCCGGAAGTGCTCAGGACCGTCCGAGCAGAACAGAGGAAACCCGTCAAGAATAGAGTTGCTGCTCGCCTCAAGGCTCGTAACAATGAAAATACCTTAACACTGTTGGAAATTTCGTTGTCGGGTATGAAGAAGATAACGATGGTTTTTTTTTATCTATCTTGACGTCCAACCACAGGAAGCCCAAGCACACACAGAAAGCTTCTGTGAAATCGGTGAATATGCAAATATGTTCAAGGTGTGCAACGAGTGAAATATAAGTCGATATCAGAATTCTTTTGTTACTATTACTCACTCGGTCCTCACTCACTCATTTCGACGACATGTGTGGCTTCGCCTCCTATTGGAGATAGTAGCCACAAAAAGTACTGAGAAATACTTTTTCAGCCTTACAATTTTTCTATAAATGCTTAGACAGCTGCGCCTGATTCTTTAACCAAAATGATGGAGTAAAATTCGAAGCGATTCGAAGAAATCGCCACCAAGCGTTGAACGACTAAAGATATTCCAAAACAAACAAGAACCAAGAGCGAGGAACATCGGGTAAAACTCGGCAGACTGCAGGAGACAGTTGTGGGCTAATTGTTACATAAACACCCACTCACTTACTCACTCAACAGGACGACATTTTGGCTTCGAGGGGGAGGGGAGGGGCTATTATAGTTTGTACTTCTTTTTTTGTCTTAAGAAATTTGGACAGCCCTCACTAGGCCAAGGCCACATCCCCTTTCCAATGTTTAAAGGCAGGAGCCCATGTCAAAGGGAATTTGTCTTCTCTCTAACCCTATGAGATACCCTGCTCTCCAGTTAATTTTCAAACCTTCCTAACAACTCCCCTAAAGTGACTGATACAATTTTAAAAACATTTTCCTCTACAAATTGAGATGAAACTTCCTGCACCATGGGCAGGTAGCCAAACTGTTCGAGGAAGGTCACCTAATCTTCATCAAACCACTCTATTAGGTATATTATATGAAGGTTAAAGAATGCGGGGTGAGAACGAGTAGAATGTGTGAGTGATACAGATGATATTGAACCAACATATCACTGGAAAAGAAATTGTATAACGCGAGGAAGACAGAGGGCAACAGCTTTAGCTTTTTATAGCAGGAGCACGAAATTCAATGCATAGATTCCATTAAGAAAATATGATTTAGTGTGTTGTTGGTTTTTTTTTTTTATTTGCAGAACTTCATTCTCCTTAGAGAATGTTGCTGTAATGTTTGAAATATCTTTGCTTCTTACATTTTATACTTCTACTAAATGTCCACAAGGTTTCATATTGGGCTCTGACCAAGCATCATGGATGTTTCTGTCATCCCATACGAAGAGCGTCATGAAGAGGCAAATTGAAGCCACCTATTCCGTAATTGCAAGACTCATCAACGATAATAATATAAAGTAATAAATTATAGAATCAAGACAAAATTACATCTTTTATGGTTTAAACGCTGAAAAGATCAAGAATCCCAGAATTACAAACCTAAGTCGCAGTCTACCTCTAGTTATTAAAGAATATTTTTAAAACGATCTGTTCTCTCTTTGGATACTGCCGGTACTTTGCGCTTCCAAGTCTTCTTTGCAACTGGAAAGTCTCGTAAAAGTGGAATTCCAGTTGCAGGCCCTTTTGAAAATTTATTGGTTCTAGTATTTTAGAGGTTCTTTGGCTTAAACCTTCTTTGAGGTATATCTACGCTCGCAACAGCGATCTGAGAAACAATCAACCTTGTTTGGATTTTAATCTTGGTGCTAAATTGTAAGCAAAATTGAGTATAACCACTACCTTTAACAGGTGGTCCTATTCGTGTTGATTGTATAAAAAGACTTGAAACTGATGTAACGTCAAAGATCAGGCCAGCTGGTAAGCTGTGTACGTCGCACAATACTATGTACCACTGTAAACGATTATTGATCTCTGAAACCTTTCTGATTACAGAGGGTCTCAATGAGGTTAAGTGTGAACCGTAAAATGGCAAATAACAAATCAGTCGTCAGGTATAAAAATTGTCAAATTTTAATCGTTAGTCGTAAAAGAAAGTTAACTGTACATTTTTTTTACTAATTTTAAGGGAAAGAAATTAACCATTAGCTGTAAGAGGCAGGTCAGAGAAAGCTTGGCTGATTGATAAAATTAATCGTTAATCATACACACCAAGGAAAATAATTTTAATAAATCATTGACCATCTGTTTCCAGGTCTTTCCATATCGAAGAAAAGCGAACTAACAAGCGGAATAATTTCACGACGCTTCAGTCCAGCCTAAAGAAAACTGGCAACTTGATCATTTCAGTTAGCGTCTGAAACAATTCGACTCGAGTGAATAAAGCGTTCATGGGTCGTGACTTTTGGAATTTTATGGTATCTGTGACAGGGAACCATTGGAGATGTGCAGAGTTTAAAAGAAGAGCGTTACAACGGGGTTTGTTACCTGTGGTTAACTCTCAGGTTCGAACTTTAATGACATCGTTTACAGCCTAACCGACCTCTCGAAGTCCCTTCCGCACTGAGGGGGCATCTAAAGCAAATCTACCAGGTAATTTTTCATAGAAATAACTCTTCTGGTATCAATATCCTTCTAGTATCCACCTATGAGGTGAATGATTTTGTTTACGTCTAAACATATTGTGTTACCTTTGTTTACAGCGAAATATCCACTGCATGGTTTTAGTATCGATCAGAAACGCGAGTTTGATAAAAAGTTATACGAAAGTAGAGTGACAGTGCTGATATGGTATCATTTACGGATCGACTCTTGTCGAAACTTCTCCGGTTACGTTCTTTACCTCCTCGTAATTTTAAGATCCGAGAAACAATTGTTAGTGGAGAGTCATATTCATAAACTCTCGGGTTCGTTAAAGTTAGTTCGTAAGAGCTCTAGTGATGCTCTGAAATCGTTATGTCTCCGATCTCTATCACTACTTGTACTTAACAAGTTGAATGTTTCTTTGGTAGAGTGTCTTGCTCTTTTTTATGTGTACCCTAAAATTGGTGTCAGTCAGGAAGTCCCCTTTTCTGATCCACTTGTTTTTCCTTCTTGGTTTCCATCCCCTGTTAAAAACCGCAGAGATGGTGTAAAAAGATGCTGAAAACGGAGGCCTTTTGCAAATTATTGTGTAAAAAAGAGGTTTCCTCTGGCGATACTTTGACAAATCTATGACTGATTTAGCGAGCACAACTGGAGTTGCATCAGCCAGGGAACCTTCTTCAAACTTTACAATTAGGCGGGATGGTCGGGAAAGTCGCTTTGGAGCTTTTCCTTTGAACGAAATTTTCCCGGTGATGTTGATATAATCAACAATATCAAGAGGTTTCTTTGTGGGGTAGATGCTAACTTGCGGCGTAACATTGGCCGCTGTTCTAGATCTGGAGTGTGAACGTGACTTTCCGCCTTCTGTGTTTGTGTTTCTGACCACAGATTTCGTGCTGACGCTTGGCGGTGTGTTCGAATGGATAACCGGAGTTCTGGAACTGATAATCGTATCGCGGTCAATCTCAATGACTTTCGTAATTTTCCCTGTGTTTGTGACTTGCTTCTGCGTTGGGTTCTCGCTGTTTTTTCTCTCATGTTCCGAGGTTCTGAGTCTTGACTGAGTACCAGCGACGGTAATGACAACAGATGGTGGTATGTTTTCTAATGTTTGCGCGCGAGTCGCTTTTGCCTCAGGCGCACATCCTAACACGCACGCAAAATTATATTTGGCGTTGAGTGAAAGAAAAACAAACATTCCGATCGCTACGACCAAGAGGATTGTGAACAAAATGACCAACCACCAAAGAAGGCATTTTTTTTGGATCTTGAAGCTAACGCTGTAGTGGGTTTTCATGTTACAGTCGATAGACGAAACTTACGTCGTTGATCGTATCTACTTCAGAATAACTTTGCCAGACACATTTCTGGCTAAAATAGCGCGGTGTCTGCGAGCCCACCTATCAGCGATTACGGAAAAACCTCACAGCCAATAACGACTGGATTTTCAAGAGAGTTAGCTGACCCCTATTCGTTTAAACTGACTTGTCGACAAACTTTCAAGTTTTCCTACCCGTCATAGGGCGCCAGATTGATATCTCAAGGTCAGTTATTTTTTGAGACGATTAGCGACTTCTAGAACCTTCGCAAGTTGGCACCGCTATTACACTTTTGATCGATTCCTTCTGTGGAAGCATACCAATGAAAGGCAGGGAACGCGTTTGAAATTTTCCCGGAAAACCTAGCCCTGCTGTGAATGTGTACTATCATTGGTATTTCTCCTGATAAGCTGGGAAGAATTTAACCTTGACGAATTTCTGATATTTCTGCAAACAAGCTTAAACTCATTTATTCTGTCAGGCATACGGTCAACGAACTACTACGAATGGAGTAGACTACGCTTGCTTAATCGATTAATGGCACACTGATAGATGGGTCAACTCATTACCCCGAAATCAACGCACAGATTCTTCTAGTGAAGTTTCTGAAGACTTCTTCATCATTTGTCCACAGAAAAAGGATGCTAAGATTTAGTGAATACGCTTTGACAAACTTGCCTTAGCACATTAAAGAGATAGGGAGATCAATTAACCTTTCGGCAGATGGAAGAACCTTCATGTGTTGGCGTTTCTCACAGACCAGACAATAAAAGCTTGTGGTCACGACTCTGTTACGCACGCTTGTTTTCCAGGCGAACTTCTCAGCAATAACCACTTCAGCGACGGAGGAAAGTGGCCTTTGTACAGAGGAGGGGGAAAGGGCGGTAATATGTTGTTGAGAACATTTTAAATGCAAAGAAAGAAAATGCTTATGTTGTATTTAGATACGCATCAGACACAATCAAAATTACATCGGTCAAAAGGAAATCAGTAATCGGTGATTGGTGATTAGAATAACAGTGGCGACGAAACAAAAAGAATAAGGAAAACTGGGTTTGTAAGATTGAAAAAAATCTTTCGCTTTTGGCATTGAAGACGATTTCTCTTAAGCAAAATAAAGCTGACGAGGATCAAAAAGTCGAGCTTGTTGATAGTTTTTAATACAGTATTTCAGTCGGTGTTTCACTTCGCATGGAGACGTGCTGTAATGCAAGGCTTCTGAGAGAAAAGCAACTCCCCATTGCCTTTGAAATTTCAACTTTAAATAGAATTCGGTTAAATTTGAAGAAGTTAAGGAAGTCATGATATTTCATCAACGATTTTCAGCTCAGTCGCAAAACACAAATTGTAAACGATAGCTTTAAATCGAAGACAAACCTGAAATTGTAATTTTATGATATGCTAAAAAAAGAATAAACCGGTTGAACCGAGTAAGCCTCAAAATAACAGGAGCAGTTGTCAGTAGAGAACTTCAAGGAAGAAGTGAATCAGTTGCATAGGAACATAATGAGATCCTTAAGGAAAAGGCGAAGAGGAAATTTCTCACGTTATCTTAAAACCACAAAAGAAAATTACACCTTAAAAGAGTTGATAGGTCAAGTTGATTAGTTTGAAATTAGCCAAAATAGATTGTTATCTGAGAGCGTCAGCTCCTTAGCCTGGATTTTCAATTCGAAAGGGGGAGGGATTTCAACGGATCGTATTTAATGAACTTCATCATTGACGGAGGCACGAGTTTGTTACGATCCTTCCCCGAAAAAAGAAACCAGACAGTCGCGTTTTAGACCGTGATTGCTTTTCGTGCATTTCGAAAAAAGTCTGATTGAAAACAAGGCACCTTAAAGTAACTTATTAAATAACTTCAAACTGCACCACTATTTTAATTTAGCTTGTTTTGATAGCAACTTGCGATGAATCAAGTTTCATTTGACCTCCGGATGAAAATAAAGCAAAGAAATAATTTTCGTAGGTAGTCTGTACCTTGAGCGATTGCTGAAAAAATTAAAGCTTCGAAGGGGTTCAAACCCGTGCCTCCAACATGCCCCAGGTACTAGTTAGGAAGTTAGGAGCCAAGAAAATTTTAGAGGATTCTTCACGGCCCATGGAGGAAGAGAACATTAGGACTTACCCACCACAGCCACCCTCCTTCTCACCCTCCCCTCCCCCACCTTCCCTTCCCCACCCTCCCCTCCCCATCACCAACGCCCCCCCCCCCCCGACCCTTCAGGTTCGAACTAACATTTCATTAATTCCAAGAACAAAAAAGAAATGGTTCGTGCTGCACGGAAAGTCGGCCCTGCCTCATTCATGCACAGTTCTAACTGATAAAGTTGCTGAAAATGATCTCTCGTGTTATCTCCTTTGACCACTCTTGTATTTGCAGCTAATTAAGTTGGGGATCATCCATTTGGAATATTTCAATCGATATCATTTTTCCCAAAGGAAAATTGAGAAAGGCACAACATAACATTCTTTGATCTTCTTTGTTTTTTTTCCTTAAAACGAAAATAATCATTTCTACATAATGTATTTTTGCGTTTTCTGAAATCTTATCTACTAGTGTGGTCAGCAGAGTCGCGCCTAAGTTACTGACAAAACTTCAAAAATGAAAATGAACTGGTCATTATACTGGAGTCTCTGCTACCCTTTTCAGTTGAAGACGGATAAACTTCACTCTGAGAGCCTCATTTGGGTTAGGTGTTCAGTAATTTTCCTTTGCTTGCCATTTCAAACAAAAATGAAAAGTGTTTGTTCACAACAGACAATTTGACATCCGATTTCCCAAAATACCATTCCTCTACTGTCTCAGGCTGTTCTTAGCCTGATTTCGTTATATGATTCTTCGATCTCCAAAACTACTCGAGTGTTTCAAATTCATAAACAGCTATTTTTGTAACACGCAAAATTGACTTTGACAAAGACGCCTTGGTACATGAAGTTATTATTGTTTCAACAAGAAGGAATGCCACAGGTATTGAAAAACTATAATTTGGCTTAAAATGGCTTAAAGGTGAACAATTACTTTCAAAACTGAAAATAGTAGCTCTTGGATGGGAATATTAAACGAAAGTAATTGCCCAAGATGCGAAGAAAAACTAAGACAGCATCAAAGTCATCTAACGGAGAACAGAGCCAGTCGCTAATAACAGGCTCCTTGAGGCCAGAAGTCTCTACAGATTTGATTCCACTCTGACACATGGTCATACACTTGTCAATGGCAAAAGCTGAAAATCATATTTACGATTGAAATTGTCTTGCTAGAGAAAAAGAGAAATTAACAAGAACGTTGAACATTTTAAACCTGGAATTTAAGATCTGAATTGTGCGCTTCCTTCCGAGAAATTCATCTGATCAGGAAAGTATTTTTCTTTTCCGCTCTGGTAGATTTCAAAATTTTGCAAGACCCGAAGAATTCGTTACCAAGTCTCCCATGCGCTTCTGTTGTAATCTCTTGCAGAAGAAGTTTTTCTCGAGTTGACCCTTCACGCAATGTTGTGCTACATTTTTTTTGCACTTGGTGCCGTGATCGCCCTATTACTGGTCCTGATCTGTATTTTTGCGCTATATGTAGCTCGTTTAAGGCGCAAATTTGCTCACATACCATCTGCACCATTGACAAGGTGAGGTGTTTATTTTCTTCAACTTAAATCTTTTCTTTCCACTTCACTGCCCTTCGTTTTGGCCAAACCTGCCCTCTGAATTGTGACTGTATCTTGTGGCTAATTTAACTAGTGGGTATCATATTTCTTTGTACGCCGTTTGTGGCAAATCGTGCGCGTGCAAGGTTGAAAGGCCTGCATCGGTAAAAATTAGGAACTTTCTGCGACAGTCTTACGAGGACACAAAGATCGGAGAATTTACGCCGTCAAGTAACTGCGTAATTTCATGCAGTCGGTAATGTATATGTACTGTAAGATTTTACGCCGTTAACTAACGGCGTAATTTCTTTCAGTCGGTAATATACACACAGTGCCTTAATTTAACTCCGTTAACGCACGGCGTAAAATCTCTCAGTATGTGCATAGACCGACTAGGTAAGTGGCTTAAAATCCCACAGTCTATAGCCGGACTGTGTTAGCAGGTAATTTAATGTAAACAACTAAGTTGAAAACGTAAATAAGCCACCGTAAAGAGTTAAAAGGCTGATATTTCGAGCGTTAGCCCTTCGTCATTCGCTCTGACGAAGGGCTAACGCTCGAAACGTCAGCCTTTTAACTCTTTACGGTGGGCCAATTTACGTTCTCAACTCAGTTGTTAACACTAGATTACCTGCTATACTCTCCCAGCGACGCAGCACAACAGTTTCTTTAGAAACTTACCCCCTTTATTCATATAGACTGTGTTTGTCACATATACGCCGTTATCTGATTACCGCGAAGATCGGGGAGGTGAGGGACCAACCCCCGCCGAAAATATATGTTGCAAGTACAATTGGTGAACCATTGCACATGAATTGAATCGCATTTAGTAAAGAGAGCTCCTTTTTAATTTGCGAAATTGTAAGTATTTTTAGAAGGAACTGGGTGTATTAAATACTAGTGCACAGGATGCGACTTTGTAAAGTGCGGTCAATGTGTCACTTCATTATAGTGCAACCGAATTTCCTGCGACACGAAGAATGACTCAGCAGAAGAGCTTTTGCTGCTATGATGACAACTCTTTGCATTTTGGACTTTCACCTCTTGCCTTTTGCACCTTATTACTGCCTAGGAATGTTCCCTTGTGGAGAAGTATGGGGGGAGGGGGGGAGGTCTACCTTAGCTTATCCTTTATCCCTCCTTTCTACCCCTCCTCAATCACTGTGTTTTTTCAAATAAGTGCAATGCCCTAATAACCGCTCTCCTCTATATAAGAATCCTCCCTAAGGCCATTAAAAGTCGAAGGTTTACGGTCATTTCGTTCCATGGTGAGATCGTTCAAAGTCAGATCTTTCCACTCAATAGTCAGATCGTTCCACAAAATAGTTAGTTCATTCCACAAAAAAGTCAGTTCGTTCCACATATATGGCATATTTTTTCTAAAGGAGTTAATGTGACCTGAGTACAGAGTAGCGTTCGGAACATAGACGAAAGTATTATCAGAACTGTTTACATAATAGTTAGAGCGTCTTATGTTAATTTCCGTGTGCA